ACAATCCTGGTCAAATATCCTTGGCGCACTTAATCTAAATAGCATAACATTTACTTCATTTCTGATTACCATATAAATACTTGCTCAATTGATGCACAATTTCATGTCCAAACACCCCCTATACCCCTTATCAATGTTGTGTAACACCTTGGACGTCTAACACACATCAAACAACATTGAACAGGGGAAAGGGGGGTTGCTATGCTTGTTATTGAAATGGGAATCAAATTTCGCCCAGTCAGTGTCAAGTGCGCCAAAATATTTGACCACGACTGTCCGAATATAAAAATGAAACTAAAATTTATGTACATATATAATTTTGACTCAGAATGTACAGACGCATTATTTACGTGTTTTCCACGTATATTGGGAGGCGTGTTCTAGATGATTTCGTTGGGAGTTATTGAAAACCTAGCGTGCGCGTCGTAATGTTGATAATTATGACGTCATATGTGGGTGGGTGTTACTATGAATCATGATAATCCCGTACGCGTATCTTAAGTGAGGCTGGATAGAAAATAAAATTGAATAATACGCATTTCGAGAATTAGATTCATTTAAGGATGATTTACACAAGAAAAATCACAGCAAAGACAAGGGCTTTGGTACTTTATTATAGAAAGGAATCGGATTTTTCGAATAGGCTAGGGAGATCGCGAGAAAATGTCATGTAAGCCCTTTATTAGTAGCAAGAATATAGAGGGAAGCCCAACAACCAGCTGCGCGGAGATCTAAACAGTTAAAAGGCAACAAGTCGCCCAAGAAAGGTTGACGAGCGATCGTAATTGTCGCTATTTTGAAAGGATGGGAAAGGTGTGGTTCTCAAAGTTCCTTATGAGAAAATGAATGGCAATTTCTTTGCAGAGTTCATTGGAAAGCATTTTAACCCTTGTTTTGCAAAGTGCGGACGTAAAAAAAGATCGTCGCCTGTTTCTCATGGATAATGACCAATCACAAACGAGTAAAGCAGCGCGAATTTAAAAGCAATGGAAAAAATCGAGGCTGAATTTCACAAGATTTCGGCTACATCGCCTGACCTGAAGCCGATTGAAAATGTCTTTCACCTGGTAAAGAAAAGTCTCGAGAATGAAGCAATTGCTGATAATATAACGTACGAAACTTTCCAAGACTTTTCAGCGCGGGTTTTAAAACCCTTGTAAAGTCTGTCAACCGATGTAATCGATGGTACTATTTCAAGCCTGTCAAGTCGAGTAGATGCTGTTCTTAAAGCAAGAGGAAAAGCAGGAGGAAATCGCATAAAATACTAGGAGTTCTATCTTTTACTGTTATATATAGTAATTCAAGGCAGAGTGAGGGCAGTATTGATCAAAATAGGGGTAGCTATTTTCGCAAATAGACAATTATCTTGCTGTCAACAAGTAGATTAAATGCTAAGTACAATTACACGTCTTCACAGCGTGACTCCAATGGTGCAGCAACGCAAAATTACAAACAGTGTTCCCTTGATATTTCCTAATTATTTGCCAAGGATGCAAAAAATTTTGTTTTCGGATACACAAAGTGGTTTGCATTACTTGAATAAATGCATTTATTCATTATAAAATCTTATTTAGGTCATTATTGCTAAATTAAGAACAGTACTCCACAAACCTAGCTTAAATTCCTAGACTATCTCACTGAATTCTTTAGGAAAATGGGGAGCACTGTTCAAAATCATGCAAGATATAGTTATAATTTATTTATTTCGAAGCAAATACGTTGACCATTAAATATCATTATCAAAGATCGTTATATTATTTGCAAATATTAAAATTTAATAGATTTACAATGAATTTTTTGATGGAGTAATGTATGGACCTATGACTTTATGTTATGCATATCTTGGCGTGAAACATTATAGGTTGTAAGTGCTTATTACGTCAATGACTAATGCGATTTAGTTATAACTTGTAATCTAAAACAAACTTAGCAAAGCAATGTCCACATGGTATTCAGTCGTCAAATGTAACTTGTGAAATATATACAAGACCACAAATTACGGCTTAAATACTTGTTTCCATCTGATTATATTTTTCAAAATGTGCACATGCCCATAATGTTGTTAGATTAAGTACGATTAAAGTGAAAATTCTAAAAATGGATATATGTATGAAATAGCGTACTTTAATATGTCATTATTATTATATTTTATTATTATTATATTATAAATGTTTATTATATATGTAGACGCACGTTATTAATACGCAAAACATTATTAAAGGTTCACTAACGATTCAAGGATTAAGGCCGATGTATTTTGATGAAATAAAAATAAAAATGTAAGATAATGCACATTCAGACAATCCTGGTCAAAAATTCTTGGCGCACGTAGTCCAAATAGCATAACCTTTACTTCATTTCTGATTACCATATAAATACTTGCCCATTTTATGCAAAATTTCATGCCCAAACACCCCCTATCCCCCTTATCAATGTTGTGTAACACCTTGGACGTATAATACACTTCAGCAACATTGAACGGGGGAAAGGGGGGGGGTTGCTATGCTTGTTATTGAAGTGGGAGTCAAATTTCGCACAGTCAGTGTCAAGTGTGCGCCAATATTTCTGACCAGGATTGTCTGAATATGAAAATGAAACTAAAATTTATGTACATATATAATTTTGACTCGGAATGTACCGAAGCATTATTTACGTGTTTTACACGTATATTGGGAGGCGTGTTCTAGATGATTTCATCGGGAGTTATTGAAAACCTAGCGTGCGCGTCGTAATGTTGATAATTATGACGTCATATGGGGGGGTTACTTTGAATCAAGAAATTCCCATACACGTATATTAAGTGAGGCGGGATAGAAAATAAAATTGAATAATATGCATTTGGAGAATTAGATTCATTTAAGGATGATTTACACAAGAAAAATCACAGAAAAGACAAGGGCTTTGGTACTTTATTATAGAAAGGAATCGGGTTTTCCGAATAGGGAGATCGCGAGAAAATGTCATATAAGCCCTTCATCAGTAGCAAGAATATAGAGGGAAGACCAACAACCAGCTGCGCTGAGATCTAAACAGTCCAAAGGCAACAAGGTCGCCCAAGAAAAGTTGACGAGCGATCGTAATTGTCGCTATTATGAAAGGATGGGAAAGGTGTGGTTCTCAAAGTTCCCTATGAGAAAATGAATGGCAATTTCTTTGCAGAGTTGATTGGAAAGCATTTTAAGACCTTGTTCACATGAACCCGGGACAGCTTTATGTCCCGGGGCAAGCTATTGTCGCGGGACAAAAATTGTCTCGGCTCGTTAATAAAAGAATAGTGCTGTTCACATGATATTTTACTTGTCCCAGGACAAGAATCGACCCGAGTGACTCGCCTTTGTAGACAGGGACACTCGCCTAGCCGGGATAACTTTTTCTCATGTGAACATACGAAGTTCGTACCTCGGGACAAAATTCACATATTTTCAAGATGGCGTCCAAACAACCTCGTGGTGGCAACAAGACCAAAAAGTGGAAAAGGACAAATGACATGGTAAAAGACCTTTTAACGTTTATTAAAGAATATAAGTCGAAGAAAGAGTTCGAGGGTGTCGACTTTGAAGCGGATCTCGTAGTATTTTACGAAGAATTGCGAAGATTGATGTCGATTAACTTCGACGATAGCGATTTTGGTCCAGTATCCGTATCTGAAAGTCCAATGCCTTTGCAGGAGATGAATGAAAAGGAATTGAAAGAATTTAACAACGAAGTTAAAGTTGAAAAAAGCGCAATTAAAAAAGGGTATGATCGAGTTAAAGAGAAAATAAAAGCTCTCAGACAGGACTATCGTAATGCTGTAAACACTAGTACAACATCTGGAAGTGGCAGAATAATACGAGACAACTGGGAGGATTTAACGGAAATTTGGGCTGGTTCACCTGCGACAAAGGCTATAGCCAATGGTTGCACAACTCGAGAGATCAATGGAGAAAGTATAAGCACTGGTTTTGTGGAGACTGATGATGAGGAAACATTTATGAACAATCTCTTCGAGAAAGAGGATGATGCCAACTCACAGGTTAAGCAGCCAGAATTACAAGATGTAGAGAACAACAGTGAATCGGAGGAGAGTGACACCACACTAGATTCTAGAAAGAGAATTGTTCCAGTCAACTCCACTCCAAAGTTTGTCGACAACAAAAGAAAGAAGTTAGAGAAGCAGTTGTCGGCAAAGCAAAGAGATATGGTTCTTATGAATGCAGCAAAGAAAGAAATTGATTTGAAAACTAGTATTGCCCATGGGTTGCTGGAGTCAAACAAAGGTATTAACAGTGCAATGAGTAAAATGGCAGACTCCATTAGTTCCCTAGGAACTGGACTAGTTCAGGGATTTGGATTGCTTGCCCAGGCATTATCTCAAAACCAACAACAACAACAACAACAAAATCACCCAGCCTTTGGGAACTTTGGTGTGAATTATCAACCATTAGCAGGGTTCCCCAATACCCAGTACCACAGTCAACGTATAAATCACCAACGGGCTGCTACTCAGTCTCAGCAATCTGAATCAGGTGGTGCAGATAAGGGCTATGTCACTTTGGAGTGACTGATTGACTATTATGACATTGTATAATATTAGTATATATACACATATATGTTAATGTTGTGTTGACATACCAGTAGGTATAACAGTCATTTGTTTTATTTATATTGATGATATTTAGCTTTAAGCATGCATAAATTAGAGCACAGACAGTTCCTCAAATGTTGATTTTTTATTGTTGATATTAACC